GGTGTTTTTGATTTTAGCCATTCTGACAGGTGTAAGATGGTATCTTAAAGTTGTCTTGATTTGCATTTCCCTGATCGCTAAGGAAGTTGAGCATGACCTTAGGTGTCTTTTGGCCATTTGAACTTCTTCTGTTGAGAGATCTCTGTTCAGCTCAGTGCTCCATTTTATAATTGGGTTGATTAGCCTTTTACAGTCTAGTTTCTTGAGTTCTTTATATATTTTGGAGATCAGACCTTTGTCAGTTGCGGGGTTGGTGAAGATCTTCTCCCAGTCAGTGGGTTTCCTTTCTGTCTTAGCGACAGTGTCCTTTGCTTTACAGAAGCTTCTCAGTCTCATGAGGTCCCATTTATTCAATGCGGCCCCCACTGACTTCTTTAATAATCACAGGGAAAGCTGCAGTCTGCCAGGCTCAACAAGCCATACTCTAAAGTGACACAGTGACCACAGTCACACCTGGTAACCAACCTGGGCGCAGGTGTGCATGCATGCGTGTGTACTACACACAGCAACAGACAGCTGCACACTTTCTTGAATGACTGTCACTCTCTGTGAAAGGTTGGTAGAAGGATGCTCATAGCATCTGAAGCCTAAATTCAAGCTCCAGGTACCTGTACCTCCTAGAACAAGAAAGGGAGTCATGATTTCCAGGGTCACGACAGATCTCTTATGGGCCCTGCCAGGGAATACAGGGACCTATATTCCCAGGAAATTGGTTGGTATCTGTGGGAAGACTTCAGATCATTCCAGCAGCTGCTGCAGCTGGGGGCTGGTGTACTTCCTTCCTCGGCCCCCTTGGCCTCAGCTTGGTGGCCCAGTTTCAACACACTCCTCTACGAAGCCCAACTAGTATTTATGTGTCATCAACCCCGACACATGAAACAAACAAAAAGGCTGCAGGCCTCCTTCCGCACATGGAGGGCACTCGTGCCTGCACAAGGAGCATGGGGTAAGAGCGCAGAGAGCCAGAGCCGGTCCCTGTGGTGAGGACTTTCTGGATCACCCGTGCAACTGGCTAGAGCCTGAGTGGCTCCAGCCTTTAGGGCCTGATGTTTGAAAAGTAGTCACGTGCTCAGTCTAGGGATGTCCGGAGGCCACAGCACAGAGCCTTGCAGCCACACAGGACAAGAGCATCAAGGACTGCAAGGGATGCTCCTGTGGGACCTTGCTGAGACAAGGGGAGAGTGTACATGCACTCTAGAGTGGCTATTACCATGCATTTGATTGCCACTAGGCCTGAGCCCCAAGGCAGCAGCCAAACCAAGAAGCAGGAAGAGCAGCAGCGCTCAGGAGGGGTGGGAGGGAGCGTGAGAGGGAGGGTGGGCGCTGGCCCAAGAAGCACACCCAGGGTCAAACAGGGTTCATCAAGAAAGAACCATGAACCTCAGAACAGGGGCATTTCTGGAAATGGACTTTGCAAATGCAGTTGGAGTGGGGTAGCCCTAAGTCCTACAGCCAGTGTCTAAGACCATACAAAGACACGTCCAAAGGGAAGGTGAGGCGGACAATGAGGCCATAGGCTTGCACCACAAGGAGCTACAACAGGACATGGGAACTTCCCCTTGAGCTCCACAGGGCATGCGGCCCTGGCCACAAAGGATTTGGGGCTTGACAATCAGAACTGTGAACAAATAATCTTCTATAGTTTTCAATTTTTATTTTATTTTACTTTTGAGACAGGGTCTCTCTCTCTATGTAGCCCCGGTTGTCCCAGGACTCTTTGTGGATCAGGTTGGCCTTGAACTCACAGAGATTCACCTGCCTCTGCTTCCCAAGTGCTAGGATTAAAAGTGTGTGTGTGTCATTATTTCTGGCCTTCTTTAGTTTAATTTTTACTTTTTATTTTTCTTGGGGGTGGTTTAGAAACAGGTTTTCTCTGTGTAGCCCTGGCTGTCCTGGAACTTACTCTGTAGACCAGCTGACCTTGAACTCAGAGATCTGCCCGCCCCTACCTCTGCCTCCCTAGTATTGGGACTAAAGACATATGCCACCACTGGCCAGCTCTTCTTTAGTTTTTAAACCACCCAGAGCCATAACACTTTGTCACAGCCATCTCAGGACAGTAACATAGGCAGAACTGTGGACCACCGGCCTCTGCTTTGCTCACAGGAAGAGACCTGCTGAGCACAACTGCTGACCAGAACCAGCACAGCTAGGTTAAGCTGCCCTTTCTCAGAAGCAGGAGTTCTCTGTCACCAGAGGGTTCTTTTAAAACACCTAGTCTTGGGGCTGGAGATATGGATGGCTCAGTGGTTAAGAACAGTGGCTGTTCTTCCAGAGGTCCTGAGTTCATTTCTCAGCACCCACATGGCAGCTAGCAACTAGTAATTCTAGTTCCAGGGGACCTGACACCCTTATACAGGCAAACAGACAGGCAAAAGACCAATGTACATAAAACAAAAACGTAAGGGGGCTGGAGAGATGGCTCAGAGGTTAAGAGCATTGCCTGCTCTTCCAAAGGTCCTGAGTTCAATTCCCAGCAACCACATGGTGGCTCACAACCATCTGTAATGGGGCCTGGTGCCCTCTTCTGACCTGCAGGCATACATGGAAGGAATGCTGTATACATAATAAATAAATAAATATTTAAAAAAAAACTTAAAAATACCTAGACTATCAAACTGTGGTAGGCACGCCTGAGATCCTGACACTCAGGAAGTTGAGGCAGGAAGGCAAGGTTAAGGTCAGTCTGAATGGCATGGAAAGCTGTAAGTTAACAACATGGGCTATAGAATAAATAAATCCTAAAAGTGTATGTAGTAGCACCCATAATCACAGCACTTGGAGAGGTATAGGCAGGATGATCAGGAGTTCAGGTCACCCTGGGACACAACAAGTTCTAGAGGTCAGCCTGTCTTAAGCCTTCCCATCCAAACCACCCTAGCTAACTAAACAGCAATAACAACAACAACAACAACAACAGAGTAGCTAGGTGTAGTGGGGCATACCAGTACTGCTAACACACTGGGGGGTGGGAGTGGCACTGAGACAGGAGGATGAGGACGCTGAGTTCAAAGTCAGCCTAGGCTACAGAACAGGGGGAAGGGTATGCCAAATCACAGATGTTATCAAGCACACCTTGACCTGCACCCTAGCCCAGCTGGGCACTGAGCAGTGATGGGGGAATGATGAGGAATAAGTCTCCATGGACCCCAGTGACCCAGAGCCAGTAGGAAGAGAAGAGATGAGAGAACTGTCTCACCCACGGGAAGGCCCCTGTCCCTACTCAGCCCATTGAGGAAGAGAAGACGCCCAAAAGGAACAAGGGCTGTGGGTGCCAGCGCTGTCCGTTTCTGGTGGGTCTGCAAGCAGAGGGCAGGCCCATCCTAACCCTCCCACGCCCAGTTCATCACATTCTACACAAACCCTCACCACGGCTGAAAGGCCCTAGGTGTCAACACACAGGAAGGGAAACAACTCCAAATAGAAGTCCCAGAAACTGAGCAGATACACTAGGCCCCTCTCTACCAGAGAAGCAGTAAGTGCATCACCCTCAGAAGAGCTGAGCCAAGCTGCAAAGAAGACTCAGACAGCTGAGCTGCAAAGATGACCCTGAGAGGGCTGGAGAGATGGCTCAGTGGTTAAGAGCACTGTCTGCTCTTCCAGAGGTCCTGAGTTCAATTCTCAGCAACCACATGGTGGCTCACAACCATCTGTAATGAGATCTGGTGCCCACCTCTGGCATGTGGGTATACATGTGTGGGTATACATTGAGGCAGAAAGTTGTATACATAATAAATAAGTAAATCTTTTAAAAAAAAAAAAAAAAAGGCAACGCTGAGAGAAGCAGAAACCAGCCGGGCTGCTTGGGAGGGTTTAGACCAGCCCCGTCACTTGGAAAGGACACTCTCCAGCCTGCTGAGAGTTGTGAGCCTGAAGGCTGTGCAGTGTGCTCCAGAAGGTTCCTAACTTTGTGGGCTGTCACACATATTGGGATGCATTTTGGTGATGCAGCTGTCTTTGAGTCATTCCTGTTCCTCTAAGTAATCCCAATACAACTCATTGGTTTACTACATTGGCCGGGATAAGTAGACCTGTGTGTTGTACCTCCCCAACAAAAGTTGTTTTTTTTTTTCTCTTGTTTTGGTTTTTCAAGACAGGGTTTCTCTGTGTAGCAGCCCTAGCTGTCCTGGAACTAGCTCTGTAGACCAGGCTGGCCTCGCACTCACAGAGATCCATCTGCCTCTGCCTCCTGAGTACTGTCATTAAAGGCGTGCGCCACCACTGCTCATCTCCCAGCAAAAGTTTTGTCACACGACACTGCCCTAGACTGCCTGCCTATAGTGGGACCCTCCAGAGACAAACACGGGCTCTTCTCATCCTACTAAGTTATGTGCGTATGTGCACATACGTATGCACACACGCAATGAGAGACACTCAAAAGAGAAGGAAGAGCTCTCTCTCCCTGTTTTCTCTCCTGGTGTACACACGGCTTTGCCTCCTCTCTTTTCTCCTTTTCTCTCTCCTTCTCTCTCTATTCCTCTTTTTTTGTAATAAATATGTTACCTTTATGCCAAAGAGAGAGAGAGAGAGAGAGAGAGAGAGAGAGAGAGAGAGAGAGAGAAAGAAGATGCCAGAAGAGGCAGCAGAGGGGAAATCAAGGCTCACATAAGACCAAGTCCTCCCATGGGTGCCTCAGAGGCTGACATGATTCGGGGAGTGGCTTGCTTGGCCCAGTCAGCCTGCTCTTAGCAGACCCAGCACTAATCAGAGAGTGCTGTCGTTAGCTTTCCTTCCCCTGAGCAAGTGTGACACAGAGAGGCGCCCTACCCTGGGATGTGGGCCACTGACAGGCGCATTCCAGGAGTCACAGGCACTACAAGACCAGCACCTCCTCAGGGCATAAGCTCAATGTTTCTTCACCCATTCAGAGAGGTTCCTGCCAGGTCCCCAAGGAGCCCTAGTGCTACAGTCTACCCCATGATCCTCTGGGATGCTCCTATGGCTAAATGGGCCTCCCACAGCTCCAAGGGGCCCAGCATCTACAGTTGCCCCAAGAGACACGTGAAAGGGTCACCTTACCACAATAGGAGGCACCTCGAGGACCTTGTCCACATTCTTCAGTGACAGGGGCACATACCACAAGGTGGCCTTATTGGTCATCTTTTTGGTACCTTAAGAGAAGAAAATCACATGAGTGATGCTTCAGTTTGGCTACACCAGGCAGGTGCTGCCTTCAGACCTGAGCAGTCAGAGCTGCAATGCTGCCTCTGGCTCCAAATCCCAAGGTCCTGTCCAGCCACCTGGCTTGAGGGCACTGCCATTGTGGACATATTGGACCAGAGTCCCATGAGGTCCCAGGAGTTGCATCTGTGGAAGTTTTCCCCTTACAGAGGCGGGCTGCGACTCAGGCACTAAGCGAAGTCAGCCCCAGAGCTGGTTTCATAGAAACAGGGTGCGGCTATAAACCTGCAGCAGAGGAAGCCCTGTCATATACAGGAGGCTGAGGAGGACAGGCCAAGCTGCTAGCTCACCCAAGTCCCCACCAGCAGACATTGCTGTTGCCTGTGAACACCTGACATCCTCAGTCTAGACTAGTACAGACCTTTCAGAAGAGTCTGTTCACCTGTCCAGATGCTACAAGAATTCTCACCAGCAGAAAAAGAGAGAGAGAGAGAGAGAGAGAGAGAGAGAGAGAGAGAGAGAGAGAGAGAGAGAGAGAGAGAAACAGAGACAGAGAGAGACAGAGCGAAAAGAAAAGGCAGGCAGCCTAAAGGGTGTACACAATCAAACCTCGTGGCATGTTGAGAGACTGCAGAACCGAGTAGGTCCTGAGGTGGCAGAAACAAGCAAGGCCAACCACTGCCCAAAGCACAGAGGCCTGGGTCAGTTCCTCAGGCCCAGTGCTGACAGGTCAGTTGCTTCTCCCCATCCTCTCCCCCACATAGTCCAAGAGGGGTGATGGGCTCAGACTCACTTGGGACATTGAGTCCAGACACAGAGCAGAATGAAGCTTCCAAAGCAGGAAAGCCCATCTGGACTCAGAGCCACAGCTCATGGTCTTTGGGTATCAAAGGAATCCATAGTCCACTGGCCCATGGCCCTGCTTATCGTAAGAAGCTGAAAGCCCAGAGAGGTCAAGAGCTTTCACAAAGGTAAAAGGGCAGCTTGGTGACATCCTAAGCACATACCAAGGCTCTCCAGTTCCAGTCACTTTCAGAAAGCATGGGAATGTGCCTTTAAGAAGTGACTTTGACAACATAGAAGGCTCCTGGGAGTGCGGGGACAGCAAGAGACAGGAGACAAGGGAGGCAGGAACAGCAATGGTGGGCTCTCCACCCTGGAGAAGAGTGCCTCCAGCTACCTCTAGAGTACCTTCCCTAGGAACCCTGGGTTTCCCTAAGGTTACACCAAACAGCCCCAGGCTCCCAGTCAAGCACTGCCTGTGTGTGTGTGTGTGTGTGTGTGTGTGTGTGTTGGGGGGGGTATTAAAAGACAGGCCCACAAGGGCCCTCCTGTTCCATAATGACAGGTCTCACAGCCCCACCCAGACACATGGCATCCCTAGAACAAGGCTGTGGGCTCCCATGCCTGGGAACCATAGGCAGACACGATAGAAAAATATTTTCCCCACGCTTTGACTGAATGAAACTGACAACCTGCTTTTGGGAATAAAGATTTCCTGTTGGACTCAGTGCCAGCATGAAGAGTTGGTTTCCATGGAAACCCAAGTGGCCCACTAAACCGAAATGAACAGCACTGAGCAAAATGAGGCAAACACACTAATTGTGTAATCCCCACCCTCCAGTGAAACCATGTCAAGACTGTTGTGCTACAAATGCCTCCCAGCTCTGTGCTGTTTGTCAGAGCCATGATGTCCCATTAGCCTAACTCTGCTCTAGCAGAGATGAGCGCACAGCTTCTCAGGGGCGGAGATGTAAGAGTAGTGAGCCAGGCCCCAGAAAGGGTTTCTCTGTGTAGCCATGGCTGTCCTAGAACTTGTGCTATAGTCTAGTCTAGGCTGTATTTTTTTGACAGGATATATTTTCATTTTTCTGTACTGTTTGACCTCAAATTCACAGAGCTCTGACTGCCTCTGACTGGGATTAAAGGTGTGTGCCGCTGCCACACCTTGTAAGACTCCAGTACGATGGGCCCCACATAGTTTCTGAAGCTGAAGGCTCCCACAGCAAAAAGATCTATTGGCTGGTTACAAACAAGCATGAAGACCAGGGTGTTCCAAAGAGCCTCTCTCCTGCTCAGGGGTGACCAGCCACCTTAGCTAGGCCCAGCAGAGTAAGACCCACAGAACAGATTGCGGCAACTCCTCTCTGCCCCGGGCCTGCCTTCCCGTGTCACAGAGGCCCCTTCCTGTGTCACAGCCTGAGACCAGCATCCAAAGAACACTCTAATGCCAAAGGGCCCATAGACTGAGGAGCAAGAGCGCAGTCTCACAGTCTTCCAGTACATAATGGCTGAGGTGACCCAGCTCATTCTGATCCATCCCTGCTGAGGTCATCAGAATGTTCCAGATGGACAACTGTGTTCTTAGCCCTTCCAAGACAGCCTGAGCCCCTTAATCAGCCCTCAGCCATCACTCCATGGGGTTACCACTGCAGAGAGCCTGGAGAAGGAGAAAAGGAATAAACCACCCGGGCCTCTAAGGCTCACGGGACCACAGGGTGGTGGTAAGCAGACAGACTGGGATGAAGGGCCTGTCTTCCCAGTCAACAGCCAGGTTATAAAAGAAACATAAGTACTTCATGAGAAGGAGCTCTGCTCCCCTGTGGTGCCAGTAGGGAAAAGGAAAAGGGTTTCCATGGTTACCACAGCTACAGAAAAGGTTTAGATGAACCAAGGCTAAGGTTGACCCAACAGCTTCTATAAAAGCCTGGTTTCAAATGGGCCGGGACAGATTTTCCTAGCAACCTCAGCACAGCCATACAAGCCATGATCCAGAAGAGCAGGAGATGGTGGCCACGGACTAGCTGGTCTCAAGAAGGAGGGGAAGGAGGCTGGGAATCCAGTTCTCGCTGGAGGGGCTTAAGTGGACTTCATCTGAAAACTGCAAAAAAATGGATAGAGAAAATCTGCCCACAGGGTCCATGAGGACCAAAGGAGTCAGACAGAGACGTAGCCAGCCCATGGGCATGGCCAACCCTCCAAGTCGGAGCAAGCTGTGTGTCAGTCGGCTTCAGCTGTCAACTTGACACAAACCGAGAGTCACCTAAAGAACTACCCAGATCAGACTGGCCTGTGACCATGTCTGGAAGCCATTTTCTTAACTGCTAAATGATGTAGGGGCTGTAGTAGGCTGTGTAAGAAAGGTAGGTGAGCAAGCCAGAGTTAGGGGCAGGCAAACAGCGTTCCGTTCCTCCACCATCTCTGCTTCAGTTTCTCCCTCCAGGCTCTTACCTTAAATTCCTGATTCGATTTCCCCCAAGTGATGGCTGTGGTTTCTCAGTTCAAACAAAGCCTTTCTTCCCAGTGAGATTTCGGCTCAGATTTGATCACAGCGACAGAAAGCAAAGCAGAGCACTGACTCTGAGCCACGTGGGCTGGTGAGAAACACCCGGGACTCACCTGTGAGGATGTTCTCGGACATCACGTGGACCTGGACCTCCACAGAATGCTTGGAAGTGTAAGTGAGCTCCGCACTGACATGAGCCACCTCGCCGATGCACATGGGTGACAGGAAGTCAGTGCGCTCCACCCGGGCCAGGGCAGCCACACAACGCTCCTGTAGAGACCAGAGAAGGTCATTAGTCCAGGCCAGCAAGTCCCTACCACAGAAACCATCTGTTCTGTTCCTCACTGTGAAATAATGTGGCTGATTGATGGCCTAAGTGTGGAGCAGCAGCAGCGAGTACCTCAGAGCTGCCACTGACTGAAACTGGCCATACCCTCACCAGGGCCGTTTCTTCTTATTTGTCTACAACAACACATACTGCTTCATACGGAATAGCAAGAAGCACACAGAGTGGAGGGGGCAGCATCAATCCCTTCCTAAGAGAAGCCGTTACCATCTGGGTCTTTCTGAGCGCTATCCTCAGGACAGGGCTCAGCTGCCTTGTCTCTTCCTCTGCTTTAGTCTTAGGTAGCTGTGCACCTTCTAAATACTTCACGTTCTGATCTCACTCACTAGGGGAAAAGAACCTGCCTGTTGTCACTATGTTATCCAAGTACAAAATGTGGATCCAAGAAAGACCAGCTCACAGGGTGCATGGGTCACAGGAAAGGTCACCTAGGGAAGTGGTATCCCTGGGGTACTAGACACTAATAAACACTCTCTCTCTCTCTCTCTCTCTCTCTCTCTCTCTCTCTCTCTCTCTCTCTCACACACACACACACACACACACACAGACACACACACTCACCCTTCCAACCTTTAAACAGATAACCCAGTCTTATGATTAAAAATTATTAAAAGAGCATCTGGCACCAGGTGTGCCTCCAGTCACCTTGTCCCCGAGTAACCTGGGAGCCCTGGATACACAGCCTCAACCCCATGGTAAAGCCCAGATGGTAGATGCAAGCATGGAGACTGACCGCCCTTCACTCCAAAAAACCATCTCTCACAGTCTACAGGGCAGGTACTAGTCTAGTTCAGTCGGTCCTACAGGCTCTTTCTTAGTCTGTTAGAGCTGCTGAAACAGAAATAAACTAGGTGGGCTATAAACAAGAGCAATTCATCTCTCCATTTCTCAGTATATAAGTCCAAAATAAAGACACAGGTGTACTCAAGTCTGTTAAAGCCCTTCCTCGGGTTCATGAATGAAAGACCAAGAGGACATGATTGTCCCTTAACATAAGGCCATTGAGGAGGGCCTGCTGGCACACACCTGCAATTCCAGGACTATGTAAAATAGGGGGACTTGGCATGAAGGGGTAGGCTGCAAGAGAAGCCTGGGCTACATTGTGAATTTAGAGTGCAAAACAAGACCTGGTCTCAAAAAGACTAAGTAAATAAATCAATGGGGCGCTGAGCCCTTCACACAGGCTGAAGACCCATCACCTGAAGAGCTCGCCCTTCCACAACCCTCCCCTTTCAGGACACACTGAGACCATAGCAGTACCGGAAGAACCTCCTCAGCCTGTTCCTAGGCTCCCACTGCACAGCTGCTTTCATGATCAAACAGAATAGGAACCCCATCTTTTGTTAGACACGTGCCAGCTTCAGCTGTGGCGTAAGCAATACTGTAGTGGACAACCTTGCCCATCCAACATCATCTGCACGTCAGGAGTCAGGGTTCTGATACACAATTACAAAAGCCTCTTCAGAAGGCTAGCAGTGACCCACATGGCCACAGGACTTCAGGGTGCCCTTACTCAACAGCCTATCTTCCATCCCTGCTAAGATAATGGCAAGATGGTCTGGAGCCTCGCAGTGGCACTGTGAGCCATCACTTCTCACAGGAGCACTCGGCACTTTGGGACCCTCCACTGACCAAGCACCTGGGCAGCCACTGGACTGACAAGGACATAAGCAGCCCTGGTATCAGTTCTCATCCAAGCCTCACAGTAGCCCTTGACAAGAGCCAAGATGGAAAGACAGCTGCCTCTGACTGCACAGCAGGCGGGCAACAGTTCCAGCCTTTGTTGTATCCCCCATGTGTGCATATGATTTATGCATATGCTTACACATGTGTGAAGGTGTGCACACATGGGAAGACCAGAGGAAGGCATCAGGAGTCCTCTATCAGCCTCCACTATAGGGAACGGAGGAGCCCCTGAAGGACTAAAGCCCGCAGAGAATATGTTGTGTTGACATGGGTACAGCCATGTTGAGGGCTCCAACTCCTCAGCCTTACAAGAGTGGCAAAGCCTGCTGAGGATCAGGAGGGATGGCAAAGCTTCCCTCCAGAGTCCAGGGTGAGAGTCATCAGTGCCCTCCCAGATGTCCGCTCCCCCACAGAGACCTCCCCTGTGCTGCACCTAGTGAGCTGGCGTGGGCAGGTGCCCTCCATCAGAGCGCACGTCCCCACCTGACCCTGTCTGCTCTTTCTTCATCCCCTGCTGCCCAGTCAGGGCTCGGTACCCAAGCCCAGGAGCAGCGCACCGTTTTCCATCTTCTGCCTCAAGACAGGAATTCTCACTGGACCTGGAACTTGCTGTTTGTTTTGTTTTGTTTTGTTTCTCCCAAGACAGGGTTTCTCTGTAGCTTTGGAGCCTGTCCTGGAACTCGTTCTGTAGAACAGGCTGGCCTTGAACTCACAGAGATCCATTTGCCTCTAGGATTAGAGGCCTGCGCCACCACTTTTTTTGAGTAAACAGGCAGCCAGCAAGCCTCAGCATTCCAACTCAGCACCCCTGCCAGCACTGGAATTAGAGGCATGTAGGGCCACCACGGCCAGTTTTAACTCGGAAGCTGGGGATCTAAACTCTGGTCCTCAAATTTGCACAGCAAGTGCTCCTTACCTGCTGAGCCAGTCTCCCACCCCCCCACCCCCCAGTACACAGACTGCTCTCCCATCCGCCTGAGAACTCACTTGCCCCTGGCAGATGAGGAAAGGAGTCAGGAGCATGCCTCGCTCCTAGAACCCACCTCTTTGGAAATGCGACCAAGACCTTGCTCAACGTTTTCCCAGGTAATTCGCACACAAACAGGCTGGAGACTGTGAGCTTCTGATCTTACAGACAACACAGAGGCAGATCTCACTCAGCAAGGCAACCAAGCCTGGGCAGAAAACGGAAAGTTCTAGAGGGGTGTATGTTTCCTGCCCTGAACTTTCTGATTTGGATCTGCAGGGCTTTGTGCCCCCCCCCNATCTCTCCGGGTTGTCTTTAAAACCTTTGGACCTTTAGGTTTAATCAGGATGGGTCCCCCCCCCCCCCCCCCCCCCGCTACATTGCCTATTTATGCAAAATAAAAAGATCAAGGAGTTAGTTTTCCCTCAAGTTCATTCTCATGACTACGGCACCACCCACTGGCAGAAGCTGGAAAGGCAAGGGCTAGGCGGAGCCAGGAGAGGGCAGGCGTGACTCTGAGCTTTGATGAAGAGTAGCGCAGACCCAGCACAGACAGAACAGGAGACAAACTCGTGCACATGTCCAGGTCGGGAGGCGGGAACCTCGAAGCTCAACCGCTCCGCTGCTTACCTAGAGTACTAAGGTCACTTCTCCCCTGAATCATGGAGGCCACCTCCAGTGGGACAGGTCAGAGCCCTGCCCTGGGGCCCAGGTGATAAAGAAGGAAATGAGATGGCACAGTTAGATGCTCAGAAGTCCCGGTGGGATGACGCACACAGACAAGGTCAGATGAGGGGACACTGGACTGAAACCCAGGTGACAAGCTGGGAGAAAGGCCAGGAGGGGCAGACCAGAGCAGCAATGACAGTCATCCTGAGGCAGGCCCAGCACCACAAGTGAAGTCAGGAGAGCTGCAGTCAAAGGCAGACCAGGGGCCCCTGGGGCGGGAGGCTAGCCTCAGCAAGGACAGTCTCCTCAGTGAGGCAGGAGGACAACACTGACCTCCCACTGTGCTGTCCCCAGGACAGACCTCAGGAGTCTTCTGATTTGCTTCTGGCCCAAAGAAAGCAGAGACCAGCCTGTACCCCCTGCTCCCTCTCTGTTTCCTGTAGCTCTGTCCACAGAGAGAAGGAAACCCTGCAGGCATCTACTGAAGAGCAGCTCAGACCGGAGGAGAGCACAACAAAAGCCCAGGCAGGAGCACACCAGGGCAGACAAGGAGAAAGAGCCATAGGAAGTAAGCTCCAGAGTAGGGGGCGCAGGAGGGTCTGGGTGTGGACTGGGCTTGAACTCCAGGACTAGCGCCTGCTGCCCTACTGTGTGGTGTGCTCCAGTCACATCTAAAGAGACGGGCTACTATTCTGGGTACAGACACCACGGGAGGTGGGCAATGACCAGAAAGACACTCTGTCCCAACAATCCCAGGCAGGAGGTAGTACTGCCAATCACGGTGCCCAGACTAGGAGTCACCTATGACTGGTGTCTAAGGCATAAGACAACAATATCCAAACAGAGCTCCCAGATTTGGATCCCGAGGAAGCAGGGACTCAAGCTCCATGGACCAGACTTGCCACCTGCCTCCCATACCTCTCTATGGCTGGCTCAGCCCCTCAGAGACAGCAGCAGTGACAATGTCACCACATCTCTAGGGTAAGATAAGGTCACACGAGCTAAAGCACATCTTCTGGGATGGCGATAGCTACTCCACATTTTTAATTTTTTTTTTTTTAAACAGGGCCTTGGCTACCCTGGAACTCACTAAGTAGACCAGACTGGCCTTGAACTCACAGAGACCCACCTGAGTGCTGGTCATAAAGACATATTCCACCATGACCAGCCTGAGTGTTACAATTTTTATTGGCATCATTGCCCACTTGTCCTCCCAAGTCATCCTCTTCCTTCATCCCCAAGCTCAAGCAGCTTCCTCTTCCCAAGTCCATTCTCTCGTCAAGCTCTCCTGAAGTGCGTGCACACTGCTTTTTCTCTTGAAGCTTCTCTACAGAAAGGGTGGCCTCTGAGACTGTCACCTCCTTCCTACAGCCACCAGAGGGCACCCAGACGCACCAAGCTCTAAGGGCAGCACCTTCCAACAGAAGGGAGCCAGCTTCACGAGGCAGTCCCCAGTCCACCACCCGCCAAGGCCCGCACAGCCACCCCAAATGTCTGGCAAGGTTCGTTCTACACACACAAGCTGTGACACGGGTGGCTCCCTGACCAGACTGAATGCTGTGCTCTGGTCTAAATTCATCGTGTAAACTCCACCCACCAAAGGGACAGAACCAGAAGTGGAGCTTTGGGCAGTGCTTGGGATGATGGGGCCAGGGGCACATCCTTTAAATAAGGTAAGTGCTCTTTGGACAACCAGAGGTCCCACATGAACCCAACCATAAGACGGCACCAACAGTGATCTAGGGAGCAGGCCCTCCCCAGACAATTCGCGGGTGAGAGATCAGCTTCTGCTGCTGGGTTTCTGGAGCCTAACAGAGAGATTCATCAGGATACCATAATAAAGAAAATATAAGCAAGCAACCCAGAGGCATTCTGTGAGAAACTGCTCACACTGCAGTGGCCTGCCAAGGATGCAACGGCATGATACCAAAAAACTAAGAAACAGCCTCACTCCAGGATCACCCTGGTTCGAAAGTCTGGTGCAGCCTTGAAAATCTGTTAACCATTACCTAAGCCTTCAGCTGCCTCCATGTGGGTGGCTGCTGGCTAGCCAGGATGGCAGGTGCCAGGATGGTAGGTATCAGGATGGCAGGTGCCAGGATGGTAGGCACTCCAGATTATGAGCTCTCAATAAAGCTGCCCTTCCCAGTCACACAGCACCCACAGCATGCACTTCAAGAGTGAATTCCAGAACAGCCAAGGCTACACAGAGAAATCCTGTCCTGGGGGAGGGGGTGGGGATTACAAAAGTAATAACTGAGCAGAACTAGGACTATCACTCACTTGCCTAAGCATGCACAAGACCAGGATATTGGGGCTGGAGAGATAGATTGTTGGGTGCATGTTCTGATCTTATACAAGACCAGAATTCTGTTCCCAGCAGCTGGGCAGCTCACAACTGCCTATGACTCCAGCTCCAGGGCACCTGACACTCTCTTCTGGCTTCCATGGCACCTGCACTCATGCATACATACACACATACACATATTTTTCTTATTTAAAAATCTTAAAAACTGCCTCAGAGCAGATCTGGTGAGCAAAGAGTGAACAACAGAAGAATTATCAAAAGGTTCCACAGGCTTACACAGCCAGGACATTCCTGCTTAAACAGCACCAATAGATTTATTTGTTCAATGCCAAGTGTGAAAGGACAATGTGAGAACAATAAACAAGGAGCAGCACAGGCCTCTGGGCCTTGCTATGGCAGGCTGCACTGCCAGGCCAGTCTGTCCCTTGGGCCAACTTTGCCAGGTCAAAATACACAGGGCCTCTCTGGGGTTCCCTGTCCTGAATAAACCCTGTGTTCACATCAGCCCAAAGAGGGGTCTTTAAGTGAGGTGGGGTCTTCCTCCTCTCTGCCCAGCAGGGTACTAGCTGAGACCCACAGCTCACAGAGGCAATGCACTGCAGACCCCCTGCAGGCCCACATCTGTACCTACCACAACAGGCAGCTGCTGTCAAGGGAGATGCTCTCTCCCTGGTTAGCCTTCAGAAAAAATGTCAGGTCCTTCCGGCTTTCATCTCATGACAACTTACAGAGACCCTAAGGTTCTAAACCCAGAGAGACTGTCCTACACAGGCCCCAAAATAAGTGCAGAGTCACCTCCCACTGAACAGCTCCTAAGCAGGTAAAACACTGGCCCCAGCAATATGCAGGGCCACTTCCCACTGCACAGCTCCTGAACAGGTCAAACACTGGCCTGGCAATATGCAGGGCCAGCAATGCTCAGACCATAGCTGAAGCCCAGAAAGCCAAAGCATTTGCCCACAACACCAGAGTTCAGTCAGGGACACAGATGGGACTCGGGCAGCACCCACACTTCAGCTCTTAAATAAATGGTAGATCCCACACAGGCATACAATATTTCTGACCACAACCAAGGAGCTAGCAAGGCTCAAGACAAGACCACGTGCAAGCCATAGCTCCTACAGGACCCAGCATGGAGGTGGTAAGCAGACCCTTCAGCCGCCCCGCAGCTTTGTCCCTGCTGATGTCCCACCCTCCACACTGGGCCAAGGCCAAACCTTATTCCCTGGGACCCAAGCAGGGTTGATTGTGCCAGAACCTCCAGACATCCGGACCTAGTAGGCAAGGCAATAAATATGCCGCAGATCTGGCCTCCCCGTGAACTGCTGCCCAGACCCCCACACTGCTATGGTGCTGTGGAGTCCAGAGTCTCATGGGTAATTCTAGCACATATGAACAGGGGCCCGGGCACTTACCCCATTCTGGCTGTTACAGTGCCGGGTGCTGATAATGGCCCCTGCCTCCTCAATCATCTTCAGGATAGTCCCTCCATGAACATTGCCAGCCACGTTGGCATCATCTGGCCGCATGATCCTACAGCAGGTAAGAGAAATGAGATAAGCCTCTTCAAGAGAACACTACTATAACATTCACCCCTGGAGAGAAAAGCAAGTGTACCCACAGGAAGGACAAGAACTTCCCACACATCTTGGCTCTCCCTCAATACAGCGTGTCCACCAAGGCAAATCTGACAGGCACGGAGGGGGCTTCATAGTCCTCTTTATAGGGGACAGAAGGCAAGTAGAGGACCTTCTCTTCCTGAGGCCACAGGTGCCATAGGGAGACTCCTTTCCTGGTCTGAAAGGACTGACAAGACCACTAGAAAGAAGGTGGCTCAGCTGCACAAGTCCCTCAGAGAGCATGTGCCAGGTTCACCATGGGCCAGGTCTCTGATTACAGGTAAGATGAACAAGCACAAAGACAGGCTAGGTGCCAACCCAGGAACAAACCCCAGAGCAGAACTTATCAGGAGGCCCAGAGGACAGGGTAGTTGGAGCTGTTCTAAAAACTAGGCACAGGCCACAGCTTCAAGACCTCTGGACTAAATACTCACAGGTCCACTGGTTGCCTGTCCTCAAGGGATGCAATGTGGTACTAAGGACCCAAGGCTGGGAGCTAGGATCTCTCAGGGTCAGGGAGAATAGAAACACTAGCTCATTCTTCCAGAAAAGAGATGTTGCACTTCCTGTCAGCACACAGCCACTCAGAGGCTGCACAAAAGCTCAGGGCTCTCAACAAGCCAGTTCGCTGCTATCACAAACCGCCCTGGTAGCACTAGCAGCATCCCAGACATCCACATCACTAATAGCATGTAATGGGAGCGTGCCTATGTGTCTAACGCTATCTGCGGCTCACTCCTGCTGAGTGAGGTCCCAGACTAGCAGGTTCAGGCCTAGAGCTGCCAAGCCTTCTTACAGCAGTAGCTGGCAGTCTGAGCAAGTCAGGACTCTGAGAGATCAGGCCTGGCCCCAGTTCTGAGCAGGCGGGACTCCAGGACAAGCTGCCAATCAATTACTTAACTGGATTAATCATTCCTTCACCTCTTCACCTGTAAAATGGACATGTCACAGTAGGGACGCCTCAACGATGGCTCAGGGAGACAAAGAGCCTGGGAACATGCCAGGGCCCTGCTGCCCAGCCAGGGGACTGTGCACGGCTGGCACCCAGCACATGCTAAGCAGTGCTGCTCCCTTCACCACATACTTAGCCAGCTGGGCTGAAAGCTTCAAGAAAGAGCCAGACGCAAATGGCAAACACTCGTGATGCCACCCACCTTCAAGGCCACCCCTTCACCAAGTCAAACGGTACATAGCGACCAAGCCTGCCTGATACCGGGCTGTGGAGCTGCAGAGTGGCTGCACGCTGTAACGGTAACGTGAGGTTTAACAATGCACAAGGAGTCCTGGACTATGAAGGCAGCTTCTAGAACCTTCACTTAAGTATTGTAAGAATTTGTGTTTTTCACAGGAGCTCCCAAAAAAATTTAGTGTCTAGGGTGCTCAGCCAAAACTGAGGCAGCTGTATCCCAGCCCTCTCCCCAAAGCTCGAGAAGCATCGTGGAAGAGACGGGGTAGAGACTTAAGAACCAGAGGTTGAGGAGGACTGGGACAAAGCGATGTCTTCCAAACATGAAGGGACTCACACCAGCTACAGGTGCCTGCCAGACCTGCACCACAAATCAACACTTCAGCCAAGGGGAGACCTGGGAAGGGGGTGACGATCCCCACCCTAGCAAGAGGAGGTAGTGGCGAATGGTGGCTGCTAGAGGACGGAGCCAGACCTATTACAAGTTCCCCTACAAATAACTGCACACATATAGCTGATCTAACGCTATTTGTGCGTGGATGTGTATATGCACACAATAATTAAAGGATTTATTTGTGCTTATGTGTCTGTATGAGTGTATGCTACATGTGTGCAGGGACCTCTGAAGGTCAGAAGTGGGTGTCAGATCCCCTAGAGTGATACTGTAGATGGCTGTGAGCCATGCAATGTAGGTGCTCAGAATTGAACTCAGGTCCTCTGGAAGAGCAGCAAATGCTCTCAACTGCTATGTCATTTCTCCAGCCCCTCAATAATAATTTTTAAAAAATAACGATGGGTACAAAGCCAGATATAGTGGCTCACACCTGTAATCCCAGCACTCATGAAGCTGAGGCAGGAAGATTAACATTACCTTAAGGCTAGCCTGGCAACATAGCAAGACCTTGTCTCAGAAAGAATAAGGAGTAACAGTGGGGACAATCTGAGCTGGAAGCACACTGGAGAGTGACCAGCTAGAAGCTCCAGCTGCCCCTGGAGAAGGGAGATGTCAACTGGGCTGGGACTGGGTTTCAATTTTACATCCCATCAGCCTAATAGTCTACTCGGCCATCTCCTCCGCACTCAGAAACTGGCCAGGCCCAGCCATTCCTGCAGCACCCTGCAGGTGTATTCTCAGGGTGCAGCCCACATCTGCCCCCAGGACTGCAGATGCCCATGCAGTCCATGCAGTCCAGGGGGCAGATATGAGGTAGGGAATGCTGCTCTAAAGCAAACGCAGGCATCAGAATAAGGGAGAAGGACCAAGGTCAGAGAGCCATTCTTTTCTGTAGTTTTTGGTTTCTGTTTGTTTTTCAAGATAGGGTTTCTCTGTGTAGCTCTTCACTCTGTTAACTAGGCTGGCCTTGAACTCAAGAGATATTCCTGCCTCTGCCTCCAGAGTGCTGGGATTAAAGGCGCATTCTACCACCCCAGGGGAAGTGGTAGCCATTCTTTTTTATGAATTATTTATTTTTATTTTATGTATATTGGTGTTTTGCTTGTGTCTGTCAGTGTGAGGTTGTCAGATCCTCTGAAACTGGAGTTACAGACAGTTGTGAGCTGCGGTGTGGGTGCTGGGAATTGAGCCCAGGTCCTCTGAAAGAGCAGTCAGCGCTCTTAACCGCTGAGCCATCTCTCCAGCCAAAGAGTCATTCTTAGCCACAGCCTCACAGCAGGCATTGTAGCCACACCTGTTCTGACAGTACCTGGCCCCAAACTCCTTGGGCTCTTTCCAAGGTAGAGCCCAGCCCAGAGCCCTGCGTGGAACCCATAACCTGGGTTGAACCTGGTTTATTTCTAGGACCAAGCCTCACCCAACAACTAGGAAAGTGGCTGCACTTGGAGCTAGACCTTTGCAGGTGTTAATTAACCCACACTGCTTGTAGCCAGACTTCGTGACAAAGACCTGGAGCAATCTAAAATCAGGGCAGATGGATTTCGGCCCTAGAGCCCGCAGCGGAGCAGCATGGGGATGAAGGGACAGCAGAGGCTCGCCTGTTACAGGGGTGAGATGTGCTCCTCCACAGGCCACGCTTTAGACACTTGCTTCCCAGCTGGGAGCACTAGCTGGGGAGATTCTGAGAGTGGGGTGCAGAGCCTAGGCAGAAGCAGGGGTAAGCCCGGTTCCTGCCTCACTCTCTGCTTCTTAAGCCACCATGATATGAACCTTTGCCTGCCCCCCCACTCCTTTGCTTTCCCCACCGCCATGGACTGAAGGAATCCAGGAGCCAGACCCAATCTTCCCTTGCTATATGTCAAGCTCTGTGGTCTGGAACGTGGCGAAAAGACGAGGTAGGGCGGACTCTTCCAAGTTACACAACCAGTGACCTACTGCTCCAGATGCCCCCCAACACGCACTCCTGCACGCGCACACGCACGCACACTCACTTTTATCCCAGTTCCAAATCCACCAATGAACTAACTCACTGATGAAGGCAGAGCCCTCAGGGACCCTGCCATTTCCCCAAAGCCCCACCTCTTGCATCAGGAGCCAGGCTTTCAGTGCATGAGTATTTTAGAGTTCACATCCAAAGCGGGCTCTAATGCCCTTACAGGAACAGGGAAATTCTGAGACACAGAAAAGCCACTGCAGAGAGAGTAAGAGACTAGCGTGCCTCGGCTACAGCCAGGAAACGCCGGAGATCCCTGGAAGCCAGCGGAAACCACGAGGCAGGAAAGACTCTGACTCCTGGATCTGACGTCTTCATTTCGGCTGCTCTAAGTCACTCCCATAGCAGGGCCACACCCCCACATCCATCCTATCCCCTTCAGACGCCTTTCCTTCTTCCACTGAGGCAACAGTGTGTGGCACTAGTGAGCCATTCAGAGGCCCCACACCCCATTTTGGCAACAGCTTGGGAAGGAGATGACCTCTGTCTCCTCCTCCCGCAGCCCACTGAGACTGTGGCCAGTATCTCTAAATCCGCCTTGGAAATGTCAGTGCTAAAATTAAACCACTGCTGTGTGGAAACCATGACAACTAGGGGAGGGGTGTGCCGGCTCCCTCCACTCAACAGAGAAAACCTAAAGGACTAAGACGTGGTCCCACCAAGCACCCAAAGACAAAGACAGGAAGGACCCTTGAGCCTATTGCAGGGGTGTGGGCAGGGCTGAGTCATACTAGCTCCAGCACAGACAGGTCAGAAGATCCCTGGGTCTCAGCAGGTGCCCAGAGAACAAGGAGAGGGTGTGAGTTCCCACGTGGGCACAGTCAGAAACAATACTACAAACCCCAGAAGTGGGCAGGGGTAGGAGAACCATCCACAACAAGAAAAGGTTCTAAGGGTGTTCTAGGCTCCACAGCAGAAGGGGAAAAAGCCAACAACCTCTCCCAGACGCCTAACCTCATACATGCTTGGGGCAGGGAAATGACCAAAGACTCCATGTGTGGCCCACAGACCAGCACCCACAACGTCAACAAGACAGTCTGACACAGGCAGGTGGGAAAGAAAGGGAGTGTTAAGTTGGGAGCACAGCCCCCATCTCCTTGCATCCATCCCAGCCACCAGGCCTGAGAGCGATATTGGTCTGGACTCCAAATCCCAGCATGCCAGGTCCTGACCCCTCCCTGGGAGGGTCAGGACCACTCCCACAGGGTATTTAAGTGAAATCCCAAAGGAGAAATGCGTGGTCTCTTTCCTCTCCTGCCAGTGGTTGTGTTCACAGCCTCCCAGTTCCCTCTCGGGGCCACCCATGAGTGGAGGAATCCCATTAAACCTGGATATTTCCTA